TATATTAATATCTCACAGTTCTAGAAGGCTGGAAATCACAGGATTTTTTGTCCAGAGTAAATTTTGTGCGCAAACATTCATTAAGTGCAGCAGAGAGATGTTAAATTATTAAACAACTTCATCCATCCACTTTGAGTTTTGAAGGTCCTTTTACATAACTTTAAATCGAATGAAAAAGCCAATTGCCTCAGGTTGCTTTATATCAATGGACGTGAAGTTGAGGATAATAGAGGTTGGACTCATTTTAAATTCATTTTAGCCATTGGTTCAATAATAGGTTTAATTCCAAAGTTTTGAAACAATTAGAAGTTAGCTAAGGATGAAGATGATCTCAAATGACTTCAGAGGTATCTCAATCCATCATAACTTGTGTAATGAAACATGGATTTGACTGAGAATTCATATTTAGAATAACTCATAATTATCGAAAAGAAAATAAGCTTGGGGAGATTTTTCAAAGACTAGAATTATTCCAAGGAACCAATGGTAGAGTTTATTGAGATAGAGAAAATCTAATTCAATTGTCAACCAAAACAGCTAATACCAGAATTTAAAATACCTTAGCTATTTTGACAAGCTGGTCATGATTGTCATGACCATAGAAGAAAGGCTCCTTCCGGAAAATCTGCATGTTAAAAGAAAAATGAGAAATCAAACATTTAACAAATATGAAATTTTAAGAACCATTCCCACCATTCCAGCAAACATACAGCCCAGGCTCCATATATCTAGAGAATAATCATAATCTTGCAAGTCCACAAGCAGCTCAGGCCCCTTAAAGTATCTAAACAATAATTCAAAAGACAATAAGTCAATGGCAATAAATTGAATATAGAAACCTTCCAACTCTTTATCACCAGCAGCAACATAAAACACAAACATAAGCATTAAGGAAACCACAATGAGCATATAGATCAAAATATTAGTGAATGAAACAGACCGTGAAGCCACTCGGACATTGTATTCTTTGTTGGGATGATAGAATTCTGCAAGGCCCCAATCAATGAGCCGAAGTTTCCGCAGTTCATGATCTATCATAACATTGTGAGGTTTGACATCTCTGTGCATTATCCCCTGAGAATGGCAATAATCTAATGCCTGCAGTTTTAGAACGTGGTTGATCAATTAAGCATGCATTCATACATTAAACACCTCAAAGATTTCAGTGACAAGCTAAAGATCAAGAAACACCTAAATAGTGGAAACAAAAACTATTCAATTACAAAAAAGATTCTAGAATATTTTTGAAATCACCAATCGAAGTCATCAGCTCAATGTTGATCCCAGCTCATATTAGTTATTAATTTCATTTGAGTCATAAAAAAAAGTTAACCATCAATCCCCTAATGCCACACCTAAGTAAATTGAGTGACATACACATGCAAGGGAGGAAAACTCAGGTGAATGTGATATAGAGCATAAACTGAACATGGACTCACTAACATTGCAAACGGATACGAATATAGTTGCTTAACTATGCATTATGTAAGCTAATGCAACCACAAAATGACTCTTCTAATGTTAAGGTAGACCGCTTGTCTTTTTAAAATTAGGAATAAGCAATAAAACAGCTTTACCCTGTTTCATTTATTTTGCAGATGTAAAATTGGCCTATTTTTAAATAGCTTTCAGTTGAGCACTAACCTTAATGAGCTAGAGTAATGCAACAGAATAATGAAAACCTCGTCAAAAGTATTTAAAGCATTCAGATAAAATGTAAGCATGTTATTTGATTATGCAGTCCTGTTGTTTTGTAATTTGATTGATTGAATAGATATAGAACACTTCTAAAGGCGTGATATAAATAAATAGATTAATACTCTTGCTCCAAGTCCAAGTGTTCAAGGATTTTGTCATTCTATGATATGTAAGAAAGCCTGATCATGAGGAAAAATGATGCAATCTTGCAGGACCACTTAAAAAATATCAAGTGTCAATAATAATAGAGAATACAAGACTCGATTACTATTTTGGATAGGTATTTATCCAAATAATGGGAATTCATGTAATATATCATAATTTTATCATCATAAGTAGAAGAATGAAGGGAAGACTTCAAGTTGATGGGAGAACAGATGAATTAACATCGTATCTGTGATGGAGATAGAGATAGAGATAGAAGTTAAGTAGGAATTTAAAATAAGAGTTTATTTCATATTAAGATTGTTTAGATTAGATTAAATTAGATTAAACATTTTGATAAAGTTATAACTTGTTAAAACTTCTTTTAACTGTAGATTAGCTGCTCTATAGATAGAGGGCTTATTCATTGTAATATTAAACCTTGATTATATGAATAAAACTATTTCTTCTTTGCCCTCGATTCTTCTCTTCTTCGACCCCCCTTCTTTTCTTGTCTGTTAACAAATTACTACACTCCTATGTCAATCTATAATCTACAAACTAAAAAAATTGCATACAGGGCCAATATGCAGTTTTTTATCGTCTCTCCTCTTCCCATATTAATATGGTATATCACCAAACAAAAAAACTTCTATTACTTCACTTTCCAATTCAAAGAAAATCTATACAAGTGCAGAACCCCATAAAGCTGATATAACCAAGCATTAAGAGAAACAAAAATAAAAAACAACAATAAAAGAAAAAACAGAAGCAATAGAAGAATTCAGGAATCACTGGAAGCTATAATACTAAACCTTGAGAAGCTCGTATATGTAGTAGCGTATGTCATAATCTGTCAGCGTCGGGTACAAGACTTTAAAATCAGTACTATTAACATATTCAAAAATCAAACTGGGGGTTTTGGAGTGCTGATCTCGGACTATATCTAGCAATTTTACAATATTTGGACCTCCACAAAGATTCTGAAGTATCTTTATTTCCCTCTTTATCTGTAGAAGTTAGAAACAATATTAGTAATCAACATACACAATAAACATTTGCTAAGAAGATGCATTGACTATGTGAAGGTATCCACTAGGACATACATTAAGATTCACTGGTATAAGATATTGAAAAACTCCAGTACATTTGAAAGATTATGTAAGAGCTCCTATGCAGATATCTAAACATTTCATTTCCCATGCTTCATAATCCAAACTTAAATTGCTGCAGGAATCATGCAACTTGCAATACTTGTTCCAGATAAATCCTGAAATTTACCTTCTTCTTTTTGACCGGTTTGAGAATTTTGATGATGCACTTTTCATTGTTCGTGATGTTTATACCTTCAAAGACCTCACTATACTTTCCCCTGCCGACTTTCCTAACAACCTCATAGTCGTCTTGATCGCTGAAACAAGGAAATGAGCAAGTTTACTGCTCCTCAAATCCATCAAACCATGCTATAAAACTAAAAGGTGTAAAATATAATAGACAGGTAGCAGCAATAGCTTATTTGAAATATACATATTTATATACTAGTACAGCATCTTTTCTATATTTTTCATTTCCAACACAAATACGGTTGTCTAGGATCTTGGCAATCAATGGTGGTAGCATACTGAAACAAGGAAATGAGCAAGTTTACTGCTCCTCAAATCCATCAAACCATGCTATAAAACTAAAAGGTGTAAAATATAATAGACAGGTAGCAGCAATAGCTTATTTGAAATATACATATTTATGTACTAGTACAGCATCTTTTCTATATTTTTCATTTCCAACACAAATACGGTTGTCTAGGATCTTGGCAATCAATGGTGGTAGCATTTTCAGCAATTATATTCCCTCTTACTCTGTTCTCCTTTATTTACTTTGAAGTAGCAACTTCCTCTGTCACCACTTATACACTCACCTCTACAACATTTTCAGATAGCAACTTTACAAACTTAATACTTACAGAGGGTGTAATTATACATCTAATAGCACACTATATCAACACCATTGCTATTAAAAGACCATCAAAAGTTGTCCAAAGCTACTGCAGCATCACAAACCTTTTAATCCAAAGACTGATTTATGTCTGGGAGTTGAAATCTACAAACCTATTTCTAGTTATGTTGTAGAATATTTGTCAAAATGATGAAGTAAAAATAAAAAGCAGCAAATAAGAGGATATTCTTAGGAAAATCCATTTCCAAAAGTCACTATGGAGTGATGGTGCCCAATCACAATTGAATCCCAACTGCATAATTCAATGTAGCCTAAAGTAAAGCTAAGCTAACAAAAGAAACCAAATCATTTCTCTTCCTCACGATGATGATAAGGCCATGCATCTAGCATCAACCCGTATTTGTATAATACATATCACTTTGCCAAGATAATGTACAGTAAACCAAGAGCATTGAACGAGTTAAATTATAAATCATCATAAAAAAATATGCTAACATATCAATTAACTCTAAATCAAATTCAAATTACAAGAAACGTTCTTAAAATCGAAAAACTAGGCAATCAAAAACGTAAAATCGCCCTAAATTAGGGCTTTTAGGAATTATACCCCCATTGAACAGTGAGAGATTCATAATCCCAGTAATCTCGAGGGCGTTGAACATTGACGTCAGCGTAAATATATCACTTTGCCAAAGATAATCTACAGTAAACCAAGAGCATTCCAAAATTGAACGAGTTAAATTATAAATCATCATAATAAAATATAATCGAGAGCCAACGCATAAAAAAATATGCTCACATATCAATTAACTCTAAATCAAATTCAAATTACAAGAAACATTCTTAAAATCGAAAAACTGGGCAATCAAAAACGTAAAATCGCCCTAAATTAGGGCATTTAGGAATTATACCCCCATTGAACAGTGAGAGATTCATAATCCCAGTAATCTCGAGGGCGTTGAACATTGACGTCAGCGTAAACTCGAGACTGCGACATCGCAAAGCTTCAGATTTTCTCCTTGGGGAGGAATTTCACAGGATTTGGATTCGATATATCTATAATTGTATATATTTTATTCAGAATACTGTAAGCGGAATCTTTGTCCAAATTTTTTTGTATTTTTCTATTGATTAAACAAATTGCTGACGCTGTGACCCATGAAATATTCCACATTGTGTTTTTTGAAAAGGACCTCCCTTTTAATATCTTCTCTTTGCTTACATTTTTTTGACAAATTTTATTATAAATGACTACTTTATCAATTCAAATGGCTTCCTTTAATTTCTGTTTGGTTTTATTAAAAATTATATCCCTACTTATCATGAAAAAGAGAATGTGAGATTTATTGTTCATTTTTGTCAACAATAAATTATTCTATTTAATTACACTGTAGTTTTTAGTAAAGAGAGAATAAAACGTATGATTGAAAAATAAAAATTTGTGGATTCTATAAAATATGTGATTAAAATTAATTGTTGAGTTTGATTTAACAACTCGAACTAAATTTTAATAAGTAATTTTTACATTTTCTATTCCAATAATGAGTGGTGGAGAATAAGAAATTTTATGGAATTTGCATTATCTAATTACTAGAAAACTATGCATCTATATTACATTGAAATTAAATAGAGTCCAAGAAGGATCTCTCTTCACTCATTTAGGTTTGATTTCAATCAACAATCTACGTTAATGGATGAATAATTGGATTGTTAGTTTACAAGGCATCAATCACTAGGCTAAATAAAATAGCCAAAAATCATGAGAGGGGCACAAAAAGTTCATGGGAAGTTCAAAATTAGTATTTTTAATCACACAACATTTTGTTCTGTTTGACAATCATTATTTGAGAAAAGAATGTTTTGAATAGTAATTTTTAGGAGAATCTGTGATTAAAAAATATGCAAAAATTTTG